AACATTTACAGAGCCCTGGTGGCATTGTGATTTAGACATTGGGCTTCTAACCAAAAGGTCAACAGTTCAAACCCACCACTCACTCCATGGGAGAAAGACAAGGCAGCCTGCTTCTGTAAAGATTTACAGCCTTGGAAACCCAATGGAGGTCACTATGAGTCAGTAGAATGGATTTGGTTTGGTTTAATGAAAACCAAAAAAACCCACTGCCATTGAGTCAATTCTGACTCGTAGCTATCTCCACAGCTGTAAATATTTACAGAAGCAGATTGATTGTTTTGTCTTCCTCTCACAGAGCAGCTGGTGGGTTTGAGCCATCAACTTTTGCTTAGCAGCCCAGTGCCTTAACCACAGAGCCACCAATAACAGTTAAAACTGCCTTCTGTTTCCTGAAGGTTTCTTCCTGGTACCAGAATTTTATAAAGCAGGGGTAATCTTTTTTTTTCTCCCACATGTATTAAATTAGTTTCTTAAACCTTCATCATATATACTTTATATGAATTACAAAGATACAAACTGTTGACTGAAAGGTTGGATCGTTGAGTCCACCCAGAGGCACCTTGGAAGTAAGACCTGGTGTTCTCCTGAAAGATCACGTGAAGACCCCACGGAGCACAGCTCTGCTCTGCACATACACAGTCAGAGTCAACTGCACAGCAACAGCAGCAACCCCACACTTACTGTAACTCACAGTATTGGCCATTGGAGGGGGAGGGCATCAGATAATTATGTGTTTAGTCTGTTTCATTATAAGGCCCCACTGATGGGTTTTCTTGGTTGCATCATGAATTAGAATTACTTCAAAATCATAAAAGCACAGAGTTTTAGAGCTGGAGGAGACACACAGTATGTTGCTTAATCACTTTTAACTGTGAAACGTTCAAATATGGGTGATTTTCTGCAGGGGAACTCGACATTAAATTTGACATGTTAGCACCAAAAATTTCAGTTTTCCTAAAGTAACTACAATATACAAAGAAAATGGCTTATGTTTACTTTTTTAGAAAGCTTCAACAGTAAAGATTTTTAAAAATTATTAAGGAATAGAAGTCATTTTAGTGAATATCTTGGCCAAACAAAGATCAGTTGATTGCACACGGGGAATTATTATGGTTGATTTGTATTTAAAGCTGGTAGATGTGAGTTGGAGTCTCCTAACATTAGAAGAGAGAAAGGCATTTGAAGATAATTAGATCGACTTTGGAACAGACCTCCGATTTGGGACGAAACTGACCAGCTTGGTTTGTCCAGGACTGAAGGGTTTCCCAGAATGTGGGAAACCAGGGAAGTTTCAGGCAAACGGGTCTGTTGGTCACCCAAGGCGTGTGATTGTGTAGCAGCTGAAGCCTGTTAGAAGGTACTGTCAGGAAGCCCCGCTTCTCCGTGTTACATGCACGTGTATCATGAGAAGTGTTGAATGTGCCGCTGGGGTTGAAGACACTGAGGCTTGAGTGTTTCCTGCCAGTCCGACCCCATCAGGAAAGCAACAGCATCAGTTTGGCTCAGCTGGTTCTTGGTGAAACCCATGCCGATGATAACCATATTCTTTTCTAAAGGCTCATAAGCTGTTTTATGGTCTGTGTTAGAACTTTTACAAGTATCAGCCTCAACCTTAATGTCAAGATATGGGGGCTATCACAGAATCAAATTTCAGATTTTCCACATGATATGCCCTAAGCTCCTCCGGTGGAGCAGTAGTTAAGGCATTTGGCCTTAACCCACCAGCTGCTCTGGAGGAGAAAGATGAGGCGGTCTTCTGTGAAGATTTGCAGCCTGGAAGATCCGGTGAGATAGTTCTGCTGCGCCCTGTAGGGTTGCTGTGGGTAGGAATTGACTCGATGGCGGTGGGTTTGGGTTTGGTTTACAGTAACCACATTGACCTTCACCTGTTGCTGTCGATTCCGCCGTGACTCATGGTGATCCCGTCAGTGTCAGAGTAGAACTATACCCCATGGAGTTTTTGGAGGTAGATCACCTGGACTTTCTCCCAAGGAACTTTTTGGTGGATTCAAACCACCAACCTTTTGGTCAACAGCCGAGTGTGTGAGTTATTTGTACCACCCAGAACTCCATACATTGCCTTCAGTTCTGTTTATTAGACCACCTCTTACAGCATTTTTTAAAGCCAAGTATGTATCTAAATGAAGTTTTCAAGCCCATGCAATTAAAGGTGCCTTGTTGCATATTTTCATCTTCGTTTGTGTTTCAAGCACACGTACCTTTTTCATCTGATGACATCTTTCTTTTTTCTCAATAGTCCTACCCATCCAATTACATGGAGCCCATGAAGCCGAACAAGTATGGAGTCATTTACTCCACACCTTTACCTGATAAGTTCTTTCAGACCTCGGAAGGCCTGTCGCATGGAATACAGATGGAGCCAGTGGACCTCACTGTGAACAAGCGGAGCTCACCACCCTCAGCTGGGAATTCTCCTTCCTCCCTGAAATTCCAGTCGTCACACCGGAGAGCCTCGCCAGGGTTGAGCATGCCTTCTTCAAGCCCACCGATGAAAAAATACTCACCCCCTCCAGCTGGGGTGCAGCCCTTCAGTGTGCCGCTGTCCATGCCTCCCGTGATGGCCGCTGCACTTTCCCGGCACGGGATCCGAAGCCCAGGAATCCTGCCCGTCATCCAGCCCGTCGTGGTGCAGCCTGTTCCATTTATGTACACCAGCCACCTCCAGCAACCGCTCATGGTCTCCTTGTCAGAGGAGATGGAAAATTCAAACAGCAGCATGCAAGGTAAATGCCACCCCTGACTCACTGTGCCACTCACCCTGTTACGTGCTTGATGGTCACCAGCTAGCCAGGGAAGGGAGCAGAGACCCAGGAGTTGTTGAACTCCTGAAAGGAAATACTCCTCTCGGCCTTGGCCTGAAGTATTCCCTTTTTTTTTTTTTTTTTGAAGAGGTCCCAAGAATCAGGCTCTCTGTTTAATACCATGAGGTGATTGCTTTCTGTATAGGACTGTCAAGTTTGGTTAGTAAGAATCTTAACTTTCTAAATTGCTTTATTGAATGCCAGCATGATTCTAGGCGCAAAGAGGCATTTTAACAAATACTTTTTGATCCGATTTTGGTGATAGCTGATGGCTTTTAACAGTCCTATTTACCAGCTGCACACAGGACAGTGGGGTTGAAAGGAGATAACCAGAAATCGTAGAGAAGGATCATTTACGGCTGGTGTAGGCTCCTCTATATGCTGGTAAAATAAGGGCCATAGAATGAGAATTACCCCTAGATTGGGTTTCCCCTATAACCTTTGCTAAAGGCAATTAAATACTCACACATCATTTTTGTAGATAAGAGCTGTGTAATAAGCTTTTAAAGCTGAAATTGGTCAATTGTATATGGAGTGACTTTTTAATTTTTATTTTTTTAGTACCTGTAATTGAATCATATGAGAAGCCTATATTACAGAAAAAAATTAAAATAGAGCCTGGGATCGAACCGCAGAGGACAGATTATTATCCTGAAGAAATGTCACCCCCTTTAATGAACTCAGTGTCCCCCCCGCAAGCACTGTTGCAAGAGTAAGTATATTTAGGTCTTCCTGGCATTTGTGTGGTAGCATTGCATCTCAGAACCTGGAGTGGAAGCAGTCTTCAACCATGTGATGGGGTGTGGTTTGCCAGGACCACATTGTAGTACGTGGCAGCCACTGGGCAGTGGCCCTGCCCACTGGACAAGATGTGAGACTCGAAAAACAGCATGTTCTTTGTCACACAGACAACAGTGTCACAACAGTGACATCAAGTTTTCACGCACATAGTCATGCATGACCTTGCCACCTTATCACATAAGTCTATTTTGTTTTTCATCCTTTCAGGCTAGCTATACATCACTTTTGCATAGTAGTAATTCTGATGAGTCAATTTGGTGTTCTTCATATTCAACTTAAGGTTGAATTGTGACAACTTTTCATGAGGTGGACACACATTGTCTTCTGAGTTGTCACTTCTGATAGGGTACACGGTTTCTGTTATAGGCTGTGTCTTTAATCAAAGTCTTCAGGCCATCCATAAGCTCAAGACACGCCAAAATAAACCCTATAAATAGTAACGGTAACAGAAAGCTGTCTGTAGTTTAGGGTGGCTCAGCATCGAAAAAACTCTTTATTGCCTGGTCTTTTGTGTACTCTGCCTGCCCTCCAGTGGGAAGGTTGGACTGTATGGGTCAGCATTGAATGGCACTTGTAGGTGATTGGTACAGATTAAATGGTGGCATCATTAATGGAACACTGTAGGTGTTCTTGACTTGCTAGTCACACTGGAGACAGTTATAATAGCTGTAAAAGATGGCTTTGGGATCTGACGTCTTGGATTCCAGCTCAGCTCTATACCATATGTGTGACCTTAGACTAGCTACTTAACCTTGCTACCTCATTTTCTTGTATTTTTCATTATTGGTTGTAATTATTTTTGTTGTTGTTTTAATTGTCTTGTGTAATGGTGCTTTCAACATTGAATTCAGGGGGTTAGCTTCCTAGTACAAAGGCAGCAATTACTGTCATCACAGGGTCCTTTCCATTACCTTCCTCTTGTATCACCTCTTCTCCAAATTGAGAATGTTCTCAAACGTTTTGCCCACCTTTGTACTGTGTCTTCTCCATTCCATTCATTTACACAGTTAGCTCGGAAGCAGAACATGATGTCTCGAGTTTTAGAGCAACTGTTTTCTGTTAACTTCAGATGTGTTCTAGATGTGTCCATGATTAACCTACGTAGATGCCTTCCTAGTAGTTCATATATTAGTTGTTCATTGTGCCAAATCATAGTCTTTTTTTTTTTTTTTTTGTGGTTGTCTTAGTTGTCCAGGGTTGCTGTAAACAGAAATACCACAAGCAGGTGGCTTTAACAAGGAGAAATTTATTTTCTCACGGTTTAGGAGGCTAGACATCTGAATTCAAGATGTGGGTTCCAAAGGAAGGCTTTCTTTCCATGGGCTCTGGACAGAGGTCCTCGTCTTTCTGAGCTTCTGCTCTTAGGCAGTCTTCATGTGCATGGCATCTTTCCTCCCCCAGCTCTGCCTCCTGGCTTCCTCCTTCAGTCTCTTTTATATCTCAGAAATGATTGTCTCAAGACACATCCTACACTAATCCTGCCTCATTAACATAACAAGGACGACTTATTCCCAAATGGAGTTGTAACCACAGGCATTGTTGTTGTTGTTGTTATGTGCCATCCAGTCGGCCCCAACTCATATAGAGGTTAGGATTTACAGCACATGTTTTTGGCAGACACAGTTCAGTCTGTAATGGTTGTCTCTATGTATTCCCTGATAGATGAAGAAGAGAATGAATCTCTTCGCCCAGCCACACCAGCTGGGAGGGAGAAGTCTGTGATGCAGTTACACGTTACTACTCTGTGCAGTTGTGTAGTGCTCCCCCTCCTCTTGGGGACAAAAGAGACTTTCAGGTGTTTTCAAAGGAATTATTTCATTTTATTCCCGTCACAAAGATGTGGGAGTCAGAGTATATTGAGAACCAGTGAGCCAAGACATGAGGTAACTCACCTGTAATCACACTGTTAGGAGTCCCCTGGGTGGTACAAATGGTTGAGTGGTAGGCTACTAACTAAAACGTTAGTGGTTCAAATTCACCCAGAGACACCTTGGAAGAAAGGCCCGTTGATCTGCTCCTGGAACATGACAGCCATTGAAAACGCTGTGGTGTGCAGTTCTCCTCTGACACACATGGGGTCACTGAGTCACAGCTTGGCGGCACCTGGTTGGGAGACCTGGGCATGCATGATCTCCTGCTTCTGGACGAGTGCTTTTCCCCCATCCTGACCATATCTAGCTGATTGCATCTGTGCTTATGTACTTGGGTGAAAGAAAGAATAGAGCAGCTAGACAAAATGTGCACGTCCTGTAGGCTGAATTGCTTCTTTTTTTGTGAGGAAAAGTGTCTTTGGGAAAGTGACTAGCAACCTGGCATGGACTTGTAATTGTTCTTACACAGGTGATGGATAAGCTGCTATAAAACCAAATATAGCCAACTGCCCACATAGGGACCCAGTGGCTGGAAAAGGATTATTCCAAACTCTAGGTTATTATAAACTACAATGGGAAACAAAACAGAAGAAGAATATTTGAAGACAAAACACTGTGCTCTGCATGCTACTGAAAAGGAAATATTTTTTCCAGTTTTACTAAGATATGTTCCTTTAATGATCTCAAGCCCAGTGGCTTTTAACGATCAATGAGTAATATGCTTATTTTAATGCTGACGTAAGAATGCATTTTGATCCTAAAAAAATTCAACAGATTAGCCACAACTGGGACCTGTACTCTTGAAGGAATTCTCACAGATGTGATTAAGTAATGTCTTGGAGGGTACCCAGTAGCAGCCCACAGAGCAAACCAGCTGGCCAGGAAAGAATTACTTGAAACCAAACCCCTAGTGCCATTGCAGTGAGGCAGCCCCAATAATATTTGCATTAGAAAACTCTTCCTTTCAAGAGGTAGACTCTAAAATACAACTTTGAAATCCATTGGCTCCATCACACAGTTATAGCTTTAGAATTATTTTTACGGGCATTCAAACATACAGCAGCTTCCTTTTCTTATGCAGTATATTTACATATGTAAAAACATATTTAGAACAAAAAGCTGGAGGACAAATTTTCCCCATTTAGTGTTGTGTGTGTGAATTGTAGCAAACCAGAAAGGAGGTCAGCTTAGCCCAAACCAATTACCAGGTATTTTACTTTTTAAAGCTATTCTAACCTTTTGATTATAACGATCCCAAATGACGTCTCTGAAAATGAGAAGTGGGGAGACCAAAAAGGGTAAGATCCCAAGACCCTCACCTCCAGCCGTAGCCTGCACCAACCAACATCAGGCTTTTTGGAAATGGGACTGTTAACAGGCTTTCATGGGGGTGCTTCATTTTGAGATAAACATGAGCTTGTGTAGAGATTTTGCGGTCTGGTTTTGGGACATCTCAAAAACGCATTGAAATTAAACAACTGTCGTGTGCTAAGACCCCAGAAGCATGAGGAATTTCTGAACCTTGAAATATGAAGAGTTACTATTTAGAAGCCTCACCCTGGGATGGGTTTTGTGCACATTTACAGCAGCCTTCTGAGATGATATGGTCATCACCCCCCACTTTACAGACAGGAAACCGAGGCACAGAAGATATGTTGTCCGAGGCTGTCAGAGACAAGGCTGGGATTTAAAGTTAGAGTACACAGCCTCTCAGCATATCTTTATATACAGAAGGAGCAACTGGAAGAGTAATTTGTAATTACTGCCCAGAAACAACTTGACAGATTCCCATAAAACCTGAAAATTAGGAGAGACTTCTAAAGTCATCTGGATACCCTGTGTTGTGTCCCAAAGGAATAGCAGATCAATTTAACCATTACATTTTCCCCCCAGCATTTCATTCCCTGAAATTCTCGTCTTAATGAAGACAAACCATTTTCATTACATAGCTTTAAAGTTGGGAGCTTAAAATAAATTGATTATGTTTTTCTTTTTATGGAAGGGTTTTAAATTAATCATTCAGCTTTACACAGCTATCTGTCCATTAACCTCTGAATTCTCCATTTTCTCTGATCCTTGTCTAAACGTATATGTAATTGAAGTCCTTGTTTTTTCCTATCTCTCATTCACTTTTCCATGTATCTAAATTGGCTGTTTTATTCAGGGTAGGGAGGTGAAGTGATACTCAAAATTGACTGTTTTTGTTGCTAATAATAAAAGTATGAGAAATAAGTAAGGTCCCTTAAAATAAAGGCATCTTCTGGAATTTTCTTAGTTGCTTATTAGCGTGCTTGGAAAAGTATAAGTGCTATTGATAAGGGAGTTACATCCACATTTTTACCAAGACCAAAAACAAGTTTCGCTTCAAGGACTCCCTTTTGATTTTTATGACTAAACTTTGTTATTCTTTTTGAGTCTCATAAATTTGGGTGTTTATTCTCCTCAAACTCTTTCCTTTTCACCACTCTTTTTTCTCCCCATACGCACTTGGACAAAATACTCGAGTATGGTTGTTGGAGTCCTATACTGCAAATTCAAATTAAAAAAAAGTCTTTTGTTACAGTTGGAGGCCAAACATAAGCTTGAGAGGTATCAGTTAATCAGAAGGCAAACAAGTGAATGGATTAGACCCTGGGAAGCTTGAGAAAACTTAACAGGCTTTTCCCAATCTACCTTTCCTCTCTTCTCCTCTCCTTGACGAAAGACAGAGCATTCATAGGAACGATGTTCAGTGGGATTCGACTCCAAGCCCACCCTAAGGTGTGCAGACGCAGGAATATGAGTCTGTGGGAACAGTCAGGGATAGGGAGAATGCCACGTGTCCCGAGACAGCGGGTTCTGCGCATCGGAGCCAGCATCCTCAGTAAGGGGCTTCCTTGCCCATTTCTCATCGCTCACAGGAGTGAAAGGTTTGAGTTTGTGAAGACAACAGTGCCCACTTTTCTTTTTGGAAGAGCCAACAGTTAAATGTGAACTGGCCATCTTTCTTAAGAGACACATACTAAATGTCAGTTATGTAAGGGGTCCATTGTAGATAGGTCCTGCAGTATGGTTGCCTGAGCCTTAGGAATTTGACCTTTTACATTTTTTTTCATGAATAACACAGAATGAACATCAGGCCAGCCTGTGGGAAAGTGTCATATAGCATTAGTGTTCAGCACTGCCGAGTACCACAAACGTCTATAAGTTGGCAAGTTTTTGTCGAGGGAAAAAGGCTCTCCTAGACCTTTGTGCCTCCCTCTAGCGTAGCACTTAACCCTTCTTACTGTCGTTACTTATCTACATGTCTGTCTCCCCTAGAGTGTGAGCTCCTCGAGGGCAGGAACCCTGTTTTTATTCATCTTTGTGTCCCGGTGCCAAGCACGGTGCCTGGCTCATGGTAGGTGCTCAATAAATGTTTTGTTGAATGAATATAGCACAGCTTCTTGGGTTGATCAGCTAATTTCTTTTTGTTTATTTTGTTGGGTTTTTTTGTTTGTTTGTTTGTTTGTTCCGCCCAGTGTTGTTAGTGCTTTTAGTAGACTGAAGAAAAGGAGGGGAGTCATTGACTCCACGTTTTACACTTAATGTTGACTTTTGTAGGAATCACCCTTCGGTCATAGTACAGCCAGGGAAGAGACCTTTACCTGTGGAGTCTCCAGACACTCAAAGGAAGCGGCGGATACACCGATGTGACTATGATGGCTGCAACAAAGTGTACACTAAGAGCTCTCACTTGAAAGCACACAGAAGAACACATACAGGTATTAGAAATGCAAGACTCACTTCCTCTTTCTTCTGAAAAAGGATTGGCATGGAATGTTAATGACAAAAGTGCTATCTTTAGAGGTTATTATAAGGAAAATTTTTCAGGTATCTTGAAAGTTACCTTGGTCATCTATAGATGTCTCTGTCAGCTGCTAAGATGAAGTTCTTGAAAATGACTTTTTTTTTTTTTAACAAAATAGAACAGAGTCAAGGTTAGATATGTAACAGGGTCTCTCACAATTACTTGCAAGGATTAGTAAGGCAGAAGGGGATGGAATCTCAGAGAACAAAGAGAAGAGTGTTCCTAACTGTTACCCTGTGTCCTCGGGGATCTGGCCTGGTGGACTATCATCTAACAAGCATACGTGGCCAAATTCAGGATAGCAAAGAGAAGTTCTTTCTGCAGAACAAATAAATGCAGCTGTTTAATAGAAATGGAGTTAAAATAAGACCAAATCTAACAAACAAACAAAAGAAAACTCACTGACATCAAGTCGATCCTGACTCTTAGTGATCCCCTTTGGGTTTCCGAGATGCTAATCTTTACAAAAGTAGATTGCCCAGTCTTTCTTCCATGGAGGGGCTGGTGAGTTTGAACTGCCAGCCTTCTGGTTAGCAGTCAGAAGCCTTAGGCACTATGCCATCAAATCATTTGTGATTCATGGCAACCCCACGAGTACACCCCATGCCAGGGTAGAACTATGCTCCGTAGGGTTTTCAAACGTTAATTTTTTTTTAGAAGCGGATTGGCAGGTCTTTTGAGTCATCTCTGAGTGGATTGGAACCAACAACCTTTTGGTTAGTAGCTGAGCACTTAACTGTTTGCACCACTCAGGAACTCAGAAGTAAAATAGAAGACGGTTAGTAAAGGAAAGAAAAGTGAAGAAATCTGGCTGCTGAGCGTTCTCTAAAATTGACGAATTTCGGTGCTGTTGCTTGCCGTATTTATTAATTCCTAGGGGTGTTTGGATCTTGCCTACTATTGAATATAGACAGTATACAGCCAGATCGTATAAAATTTGATCTAGAGGTGAAGAAAAGGTACAATGGTTGTAAGTACTCCTGAACATTTTGGTAACAAATGTTTTCATTGCACTCAGTATTAGTGATTAACTTTTATAGTAAGTCTTATCTAATCTCAGACACCTCAGTGTGAAATGGTAGTATGACGACAATTTACCTTTTTGTATATTTTCCTTAACTCAGACTGTGGATTATTTTTCTGAGTATTGTGAGTCATTCTTCTAGGAATATTTGTTGAAAGAGGAGTCTGGTGTTGCAGAGGAAAGGGGAAGGAAAGTGACTAGAAGAATGGAAGGGAAGTTTTTCAGTGAGTCCTAGAGAGGAGGGCAGAGGGTAAGGAGAGAAAGCCAGCCTACAGCTGTTCTTTTGCAAGTGTCAGAAGATGCTGAGGTGCCCAGGGTTACTGTTAGGGTGCAGGCCTTGGCTTAATACTATCCTGGAGAGAGCTGAGGGTTGTGGGTGAACACCCTATCACGGATGCCACATTTGTTGTTGTTGGTTGCCCTTGAGTTGGTTCCAGCCCTTGGCAGCCCGATGTGTGCAGAGTAGAACTACTCTGAAGGGTTTTCAAGGCTGTGACCTTTTGGAAGCAGATTGCTTTGGAGATGCCTCTGGGTAAGTTCGAACTGCTAACCTTTTGGCTTGTAGTGGAACATTCAACCATTTGCATAACCCAGGGACTTACACAGATTCATAAAAGCATTCCCAGGGCAGTAATGGGACCTAAAAGGTAGGTGTCATCAACTCCCAGCTTAAGGTTAAAAAGACTTAGAATTTTTAGATGGTGATTCAGCCACTCCTTGGAAGGAAGGTTGGGCAATCTACCTCCGTAGTGATACTGCCTCAGACCCCCAAGGAGGGGTCGCTATAAGTCGGATCCAACTCGAGGGCAATGGGTTTTTCAGATGAAAATGCCTGTTCTGGTTCCCTAGTGCCGCTCTGACGAGAAATAAGCCACAAATGAAATGGCTTGAACTCACAGGAGTTTCTTCTCTTACAGTTCGGAAGGCTAGAAGTCCGAGTTCAAAGTGCCAGGCTCTCGGGACTGGGTGAAAGCCACTCAACCTTGGGCTTCACCTCTGCCTCTTTCTCCCAGCCCACTGAACTGGAGGCTTTTCTTCACTCAAGCAGCTCCTGGCTGCTGAGGCTAACAAGCCCAAGGTCAACAAATAAAATGGCACAGTCCCGATGTTTCCAAACCACAGGGCAGGCTATTAATTCAAGTCCATTGTAAGTCCCAAGGTCGACAGAGTATGGCAGGCTGCTGAACAATGACATGGCTACATGCAGGGTCTAAGTGTTCCGCAACCTTGAGACCATTATTTGTTAGGATCTTCATGCTAATTGTCCTTGTCATCTTCCCATAGGGGTATTTTATTCCTCCATAGAAAATGATCCAAGAGGAGCAGGTTTTAGAAAGGGGAGGAGTTACTATATTTTCAGTACTTCTAAATTAAAGCATCATATTTTGGAGTAAATGATACATCTACTTCCGAAAGGTAACAGACATTGAAAACCCTATGGAGGGCAGTTCCACTCTGAAATACATGTGATCACCATGAGTTAGAACCAATTCAGTGGCAACTGGTTTAGTTTTGGGTTTGGTGACTGGCTAAAAAAGAAAAAAAAAAATTAAGATGCTAAATGCCCTGATCAGTTGATAGAGACTTCATATTTTTAGAAAACCAATAAAATACCATAAGTTTTTCATTTGACCTTCTCATTAAATGGATAGCAGTGCATAAGATTAAGCTTCTCAGGAGGTTCAAGACTTGGAAATATACAAATAGAGCTTATTAAGTTATTCATTCTATTGTTGTTAGGTGCCATGGAGTCGGTTCTGTCTCATAGTGACCCCATGCACAGCAGAACGAAACACTGCCTGGTCCTGCACCATCCCCACAATTATTGCCATATGTGAGCTCATTGTTGCAGCTACTGTATTAATCCATCTCATTGAGGGTCCTTCCCCTTTTCTGCTGACCCTCTACCAAGCACGATGTCCAAAGTACATGAGACAAAGTTTCACCATCCTCACTTATACAGAACATTGTGGCTATACTTCTTCCAAAACAGATTTGTTTATTCTTCTGGCATCCACTGGTATATTCTGTATTCTTCATCAGCACTTAATTGTGCTGATGAAGAATCTGTCCATAGACCAAGAGGCAGTCGTTTGAGCAGAACAAAGGGATGCTGTGTGGTTTAAGATCAGGAAAGGTATGTATCAGGGTTGTATCCTTTCATCATACTTGAATAGTCTGTATGCTGTGCAAATAATCTGAGAAGCTGGACTATATGAAGAAGAGTGTGGCATCAGGATTGGAGGAAGACTCATTCACAAACTGCGATAGGCAGATGACAACCTTGCCTGCTAAAAGTGAAGATGACTTGAAACACTTACTGATGAAGATCAAAGACTACAGCCTTCAGTATGGATTACACTTCAACATAAAACAAAACTCCTCACAACTGGACCAATGAGCAACATCATGATCAACAGAGAAAAGATTGACGTTGTTGGGATTTCGTTTTAGTTGGATCCGTAGTCGACACCCATGGAAGCAGCAGTCAGGAAATTAAAGGACGTATTACATTGGGCAAATCTGCTGTAAAAGACCTCTTTAAAGTGCTGAAGAGCAAAGACATAATTTTGAGGATGAAGGTGTACCCAACCTAAGCCATGGTGTTTTCAGTCGCCTCATGCATGCGAAAGCTGGACAATGAATAAGGAAGACTGAAGAAGAATCGATAAGTTTGAATTATGCTGTTGGTGAAGAATTCATACTACTAGTAGAGGGCAGAACCAAATTATTTGGTAGCCCCTAAGCATGAATTTCAGGAGCTCTGGTAGCATAGTGCCTAAGGCACTGGATTGCTAACCAGAAGGCTGGCAGTTCAAACCTACCAGCAACTCCTCGGAAGGAAGGTTGGCAATCTACTTCCGTAGTGATACTGCCTCAGAAACCCTAGGGGGTGTCACTATGAGTTGGGGCCAACTCAACAGCACATAACAACAGCAACAACAAGCATGAATTTCAGACTACATGCAGGAGAAGGCAGTGGTAGAACTCTCAGCTTCCACTGGGAGACCTGGGTTCAATTCCTGGCCAGTGCACCTCTAGCACAGCCATCATCCATCTATCAGTGGGGGCTTATGTGTCACTCTGATGCTGACCCGTTTCACTGAAGCTTCCAGGTAGAGACTGGGAAGAAAGATGTGGTGTGCATGGGTCACCATGAGTTGGAGGCCAACCCATAGCCGCTAACAACAGCACACATTAAGAACACTTAATGACAGCACACATTAAGAACGCTTACAAGTGGTCCCCTTTTTTTAGTAGAGAGCTAGTTAAACATTAAGAGAACTAATTTTTTTTTTCCTTGCTTGTCCTGTAATGATGTATAAAAGCCCTGTGGTGCTAAGGGCTAAATGTATAATCAGATCTTGGAAATAATATTTGTCAAGAGCTTTCAGAGCCAAAACCTTACTTTTACTGACTTTACTAATTAATATCCTTTTGGTTTCAGAAACATTAAGCTCTGTTCTTTTTCCTTTTCTCTGCAGGAGAAAAACCCTACAAATGTACATGGGAAGGCTGCACATGGAAGTTTGCTCGGTCTGATGAACTCACAAGACATTTCCGGAAACATACTGGAATCAAACCTTTCCAGTGTCCAGACTGTGACCGCAGCTTCTCCCGTTCCGACCATCTTGCCCTACATAGGAAACGCCACATGCTAGTTTGAAGGGCTCCGTCTCCCGCCTCAACGTGACTCCCCACTTTCCTGGCTCTCTCTCTGTCCTCCCTTCCATTGTCTAACTCATTTTTTACATGTACATTTTAATTTTGATTCAGCTGGTCTGAATCTCTGAATTTATATCATTCAAAACTTCCATATGGTCAACAGTAGATGTGCTCTAATCCTCCCTCTCCTTACCACGGGTCAGACCTAAAGAATGTGAACACTTTTTCTTTTTTTTTTTCCGGGGATGCTAAGCAAACCCTTCTTACAGATATGTTTAATGTACTGAGAACAAGGGAACTTGTAAACTAACATAACTAGTTGTCAGTTTTTCCGTGTATTCCTCAAAAGAATGTCCAAGTAAATGTATTAGAAATACGGTATCCAGCCTGCTAGTCCTTGCCAGAGACATTCGTATCTATGTGCCCTGTGATCACGTTGTGCGCTCGACAGTGAGGAGAATGGTGGACCTTTTTCAACACTGGTTAGCTAGACGTGCTGCAAGGTGTCAAGTAGTACAGTCAACACTTCCATTGTGCTCCACGAATCTTGCTTGTCAACCCGGATTTATCACTGCATCTAAATTAAGGCTTTTACCCTCCATTGTGCCTGCAGTTTATATGGAGGTCTTTTCCGTCACTGAGAGATGAGCCAAAGCTGCTGATTTAGGTGGTGATGTACATCAGTTCACCCACCTTGACTGGATAGTATAGGAGCAAAGGGGCATTGAGCAGGGGATAAGCAGAGAAGGACAAAGGAGGAAGCCGGCCATTCCTCCTGGGCTACAGGTTTTCAGTGAGGTTTCCTCATTGAGTTGGGTGGGCAGTGTGTTGCCAGAGCTTTGCTCTATATGCATGCTCAGCTGCAAACTATACTGCAACACCACATACCAATGGGGTTATCCATGCAACTGTCTCCATTCCTGCAGTGTCCTTGAATGACCAGGCCTCAATAGAAGGAACGACACACAAATATTTACCCAGTAATGATAAAAAAAAAAATCTTTTGGGTAAATGTATGGATGGTCTTTACCTAACGTGCTTATAGCTTTTTCACAAGTAGGAAAATACTGAGTGATAATTTATTCCCATATCAAATTAATCTTATAGGTCCCTACAGAAACTCTTCTGTGTGAGCTGTAAGGTGGCACATTGGCTGTCATTTGTGTTTGTGATACGTATCATAAATAAACATTTACTAATGCTTTAGTAGATTAATTTGATTTAAGGCCTGAGTGACACTATTTGTAAGTATAACTAGTTATGAAGCACACATCATTACTTTGGGGACAGATTTTTGAAAACTACAGAAAACCATAGTTCAGGGCTTCATATATGATATTCAAAAATTCCCAAAAGTCTACTGTCAGAGCTGTCAGAAGAACAAAGTGAGAATAACTACATGGAAAATAAGTAGCACCATCGTTCTGGGGAAGTTTTTCAAAAGCAGGCTTTTGAGTATGCACCATAGTCCAGATGCCAAGAAAAATAATTCATGTCTAGAAATACCAGTGATCCTAAATTTGAAGGAAGTGGGCAACAGTGGTCAAATGTGGGTGCATATAACCGAATGTACCTTCATCCCTTGATGGAGGAGGAGGAGAGAGAAGAATAGAACCCTGCAGATTCATCCCAGCCACAACTCAGGACCAAGCACAACTTGACTGAGAGGAGAAGACTGTGTGATCATTTTAAAACAGCAGGGAATGAGTGCTTCTGGAGGCCTGTGAATTGTATGGGGAGCTTGCTTTGATGGCACTATGCTGTGGGTACTTGTAGGGACTGTGTACCTAAGATCTCACTCATCCAGCCCTATGAACCGACCACAAGGAAATGACATTGATAAATGAAAAGCAATTTGTTATCTTGGCACTTGGGTTTGATTTTCCTTCTTGTAAAGCACTGCAAAATTTGGTTAGATTATTAGAGTGAATCCTGATTGGGCTATTCCTTTTCTTGTAACTATGACATGAATTGAGGGATAAAGCTGGCTCTTGGGGAAATAGAGATTATGTGTATTATAAATGCTTAGTCACATTCATACCAAAGTGTTCATTTCCTGAAATGCTTCTTACTTGCTTACTTACTGAAGAATCTAGGAGGAATGCAAAGAACATCTTTGGAGATAACCAGATTATGTGTTCCAACCCATGTAGAAGAAGAAAAGAAGAAATGATGGAATTGATCTTTGAATTAGTTTTTAAGTCTGAATCCAATTCACAGGTTCTCATGAAATTTAATGTGTTTGCTATAGTGTGTTTAAATTTTACTCAAAAGAGCAGGAAAGACCCTGTAAAAACTATTGCATTACTCTTGAGCTTGCTTGGTTGGATTATGGTAACAATTCGCTAACAAAGATCCATTTTAACTCTGAAAGAAAAGCAGCCCAGAGAGGCCGTTCCGTAGTCCCTGCTGTTCTGTGTACTTCAGTTACTGATTGGCCCTTACCAAATTTTCCTTATATATATATTTGTATTTTACTGTGATAGTTGAGAAATTTAGTCTTAGTCATTTTAGTTGTTATCGTGGAAGACCTCAAATACAAGATAATCTTCAGATGCCCTTGAACACGTGGTTTTAATGTGCCATTGTAACTATCAGCAGTGATTTTAATTGCAATATTTTAAATTGATGAGAATGATTTGTAAACATGAAGTTAGTGTTGTGTACGTTCTGTTTGTTTAGAATTTCTTGGATTATTACCCAGGTGTCATCTTGGAGAAGCAGTCAGAACAATTAAATCTGAATCCATCATATTTTAATGTGAATCTACATCATAAATGGGCATTAACATTATAAGTGGCTTGGTTTGGAGAATGTGTTAGCATAACTATGTTCAGTTAAGGAGATGCTAAATATGCAGAAGTTTCAAGAGCCTTGGGACAGATTTACAGGGGAACTATACGTATATGTGTATTCTGTTAAACACCCATCTGCACTATCAGTATTGCACTAATGTGGAATTTGAAAGACTGTTGCTGATACTGTATATCTGCACATCATTCCTGATTAGATTGTTGTAAAAATGATCGCAGAGAGTTATGATTTGAAAGTAATTTGATTGGTTTGGAAATATACAGTAGTCTTGAAGGAATTCCTGTCATACATGTAGTTGTCGAGTTGTCTTTATTCTTTTCTTGGTCAGGGTTAACAGTTCCTAAATGATTGCAAATTCACTTCAGAAATAATACATTTACAAAGCCATCTTAAGTGCATTAAACGAGGGCTACAACCATATTATGTTTTACAAATAATAGCACTTTTTTTTTTTTTTTTTTGCTGTTATGTACTTAGTGTTAGAGGGTCAAAATAATCTTTCCGCTTAGCATCTCTTAAACCATGCCTGCAAAGTATAGCAGGATTATTACATTTACAGTACTTTAATACTTGTATAAACTATGCAGAAATTTTTAATAAAGTGTAATATATTTTATAAGCTAATAAGACTGAATGGGTAAAGGTTTTTAGCATGCATTAGTATACTTGCAAATACTGAAACATTTTGGTAATCTTTCTTACTAAAGATGTGAACATTTAATGTACTTTCTCTGTTTCTACTTTGTAGTCCAATGGAAATTCAGTAATGTCATTGTGTCATGTCAAACTGAACAAAAATTTGTATTGTACAGTCCTCATATAGTATATACAGTATGCAATATATGTATTATATACTTGTTAATAAAACCATCAGAATGTTACATGTGATCATGTGATTACTACATGTGCAGTGATCACTAGGAACAAAACTGGAGAGACAGCAGTGTAACATCTAAGAGACCCTGCTTAGAAGTTTCAAAGTCAGCAGTCTGCTGGGCAGAAAACTGTTGATGGAAAGTTAGAAAAATAGATCTAACTGGAGATCCATTAAGTAGTTTAAGCCCTGAAGCTATCTTCTTGGGTTTCTAGTAACTTAATAGACTACAGACGACCCAGCATAAAGGTAAAAAACTCTTGTGCATTTGTGGTATTTATTTATTGTTTATGACCCCACCTGCTTCCAAAAGAATTTTCAGTGCCTTGTATTAAAAGACAAGGAGCTCTGGTGGTGTAGTGGGTAAGAATTTGGCTGCTAGCCAGAAAGTCAGTGGTTCAAACCCACCAGCTGTTCTGTGGGAGGAAGATAAGGCAGTCTACTTCCATAGATGTACCGCCTTGGAAACCCAATGGGGGTCGCTATGAGTCAGAATCGTCTCAGTGGCAGTGGGTTTGGTTGGTTGGTATGTATTAAAAGGCACTTGGAATGCTAACTAGAAGGCTGGTGGTTCAAAGCCACCAGCCACTCCTCGGAAGGAAGATTGGGCAACTGCTTCCATAGAGAGAACCACCACAGAGACCCAAGGAGGAGTCGCTATGAGTTGAATTGACTTGACAGCAGTGAGGTTTTGTTTTGGTTTTTTTTTTTTTTTTTTGCTTTTTGCTTTGCATGAGACTAAAATTTGAGATAAGAAAAAAATAGGATTCATAATTTAGAAAGTGGAATATAGTGGAATATGAGAAACAATAGTAACTGCATCAAAGTAATTCTGGATAAGCATAACCATTTTTCAAGACTCAGTAGGCCATGTCCATGGACACTGCAGTCTGCAGCATCATAAGAACAGCATTCTAGCACCATTTATTGAAAAGACTTCTTTCTCCATTAAATTTCCTTTATGTCATTGTAAAAAAGTCAGTTAGCCTTATATGTTTGCATCAATATCTAGAGTCCTGTTCCATTAATCTATGAGTATCTTTCCCTAGAATCACTGCTTTGATTACAGCAGCTTTATAGTAAATCTTGAAATTAGGTTGTGTGGTTCCTCCAAACATGTTGTTCATGTTTATAATCCTTTTAGCTTCTGTAGTTCCTCTGCTTTTCCATATACATTTTAGAATCAGTTTGCCAATTTTTTAATGCTTTTTATTGAAATATAATTTATGTACAGTGAAATACACAAAACTAAAGTGATGTGGGTCAATGCTTTTTTTTTTTTTTTGCAGTGTTCCTTCCCCTCCCCTCCCACTCCTGGCAGCCACCAAAGAAAGGTTCCCTCCGTATATAAACCTTTCCTTGACCCTGCACAACAATGAACTAATACTATATTTGTCCTTCTGTGTTGACTTATTTCACTCACCATAATGTCCTCCAAGTTCATCCATATTATGCAGTGTTTTGCAGACTCTACATTATTCTTTAGTGCTCCATAGCATTCCATTATGTGTATGTACCATAGTTTGGTTATCCACTCTTCTGCTATAAATCTTAGAGATGAGTCCCTTGCCATATATGTAATTATCAGCAAATATGTATTTGTTGCTGTCATTTTTGTTATGTGCTTTTTCATGGCATTGATTTCTTTGTTCCATATAATTTTCTATGCTGAGCTCGTTTTTTTATGTATCATGTTATCACTTCCTTCATTGCTATTGTTTTAGTATTTGCTGAATATTTATGCTGGTCCTCTTTTTTGATGGAAAGGTTTATCATTTTTCTTTGAAATTCATCCAAACATGTTATTCTTGTTTATAATCATTTTAGCTACTCTAGTTCCTCTGCTTTTCCATTTAAATTTTAGAATCAGTTTGTCAATTTCTTTAAAAAAAAAAAAAAAGCCTGCTGGGACTTTGTTGGGATTGCATAGAATTTAACAACTGAG